GGAAAGAGGCGACGCGGGACCCTCTTTTAATTCTTTAAAACTAGGAAATACAGCCTTCCCCTCAACTGAAAAGAAACCAAATCGAATTTCAAGTGATAGTTCCTGCTTTTAAGAATCATATAATTCTGCTTATCATTTCCATGGTACTTCATAAACCAAGGAAAAAAAGAAAGTAGTTTAGGCACGAATATCTAAGACTGTTTCTTGAAAGCTGATGAAACGAAGCCTAAAGGAAGGAGCAAGGATGGAGTGCATTGGTTAAATTCATGAATGTGATTAAGGCAACTGAAAAAGTTCTTCTGAGTCATTCATGCACTATTTTATCATCACAGGACAGCGCCTATACGACAATCTACAACAGGTCGGGAGAGTGCCCCCATTCCAGCCAATCCCTTTGCAGTAGTAGAGCCCACACCTTCACGTCCAGTGTCGCCTAGACAACGCGACACACATCATTTTCCAAGGTCACCTATCGTATCCCCAGATCGATCAGGCGCCGGTTCACCCGCTTCAATGACTGCTAGACCCCCCGGAATCGATATAAGAGGAGTTGGAATGACTCGTACCGTGGTTCTTCACAAAGCCTACTTACCTGATGCCCCGCGTATTCCTACCCTTGGCCTGTCTTTAGGAACTGTACAGAGTGAGTTGGGTTTACCGAACATCATTTTTGGATGGTTTGAGAGTTAAAGCATTGTAATGCAGTCTAGAGGTGCTCAACATCATGAAATTTTCATGCTTTTTTTTCAAATAGACCTGTTAGCTGTTCAGCGTTTTGTACCCAATCCTACAAAACCGAGTCTCCAACAGATCAAAAACGTGAAGCCTGCAAGTCCCGCTTTCAACGCTGGTCTTCGTGCCGGCGATTATGTATTGAAGGTAAGTCTGTCTCCCTTTAGCTCTTCTGGCTAAAATTTATTGAGGATTGTCCATTTAAATCTACAACTAGTTACTTTTTCCTTCCTCACGTCTGCTAAACTATCCACCTTTTTGTTTTCCATTGTCATAAAAAAAATAAATCAAACAGTCATTCCATGGGATACTGCCCATCATGTTTGCTAGAATAGATGAATTGCTCTATCCGTCAGCCAATGTTCGGACTTGCTGTGGTCCTACCACCGGCTGGGACGGAGAGGATAATAACAGCTGTTTTTCTTCAGGTGTATATGTGTGAACTTTCTACTGTCATTTAATTTCAAGGTTCAACGAATCATTTGAATTGAAAATTTTACTACCATAAAATACATTACCAGTCAGAGCTACACGTGCCTGTGCAATTTATTTTGCCTGTGGACTGGTGGCCGCGCGATCCCGACCTCCTGACCCCAAGTTCAAAAGTAATGAAGCTGTCAATTGAAGTGTTCTATTCGGTAGAGGAGGTAACCCACATCAGAAAGCCACGAATAAGAGGCGATTTTAATTGTTTATACACAAAACCTGCCCGTTCTGTGCGTGATTCACACGATGTGGGTGATGCAGCAATGGCAAAAAGTAGGAGTTAAAAAATAAAGTCAAAATATAGTAAAAATGTCAAAAGACAAGTCTGTCTGCTGAAAGTGTACTAAAGTGGTAGTCCTTTTTCATTACCGACTAACTGGGGGATTTCCCACCTGTCCCTAAGAGGACAACAGAAGTTCAGAAGCGTTCGCTGCATAGACAGTCAATCAAATACAGAAGTAAAGTGGGAGAATTTGGTTTATTCAAGGTAGTCAAAATATAACTGCAAAAGGACTTGACATTTAAGCTGTCTTTGGCTCCAGGCTTCGAAAGCATTCTCTTTTCAAGATCATAAGCATCAAAGCTGTTTTATGTTCGCAAACGGAACAGTTGTTAATGCTTCCAACTGTTGACAGTATAGATTTGTTGATGACATGTCTACATCTTCACGGCTATGTAGGTAATGTGTCATAAAAGTCCCTTTAAAGTAATGCCAGAATGTCTTAGAAATATCCAAGAAATAAATGAAGATAGGAACACTGGGAGGCAGAAAGATGGTACATCAGCTTTGATGCCTTTGTTTTGTTCTTTGTGCTTACCTTTTGACGGGGGCGACAATGCGAGGATAGCAGTGGCTACATAAATACATGTGAAGGGGCCTAGAGCCCTTCCCATGCACGCCAATGCATGCAAGTGAGTAATCACGTAAGTCACTTCCAATACCAACGCGGCCGTCGCCAAATATGCGGTGAGAAGGAGGCGATAGAGGTGCATTACTTTGTTGCACACGCGAGCACGCTCACATTCACACAAAAGCTTAGTGAAGACCAAGTTGGTGTATTTGACTCGCCCCTCTCTCCTAGTCTCTCTCCGGTTGTACTCCGCGCATGTGAGAACGCGTAACCGGTTTTGGCAAGCACGTTGCCATTGTGCATGCAAGGCAGGCATTTCTATGAAGTACCAAATTCTTTCAAACTCCCCAGAACAAGCACGCTCACTGACCTAACTTGACCCGCTTTGGTTGTAACTAAAGCTCTTAGCATGATCGTGCCAAGGATGATGTTTTTTTTTGCGACTCTTGTGGATAAAACGGAGTACTCTCAAGATTGACGCCGGCTGTGTGATATCAACGTCTATGCCTTTTTCTGGTAAATCTCCCGGGCTAGAGGGTGACGGAAATGCATAATTTATGCAGAATAGTGTGATAACAACGTGCTACACTATAATGCGTGTGAGTTCCATTTCCCATGAAAAGTGTGTCCATTGTTACAGTACAATGGTGGTCTAGTAGACAGCGAATTGGTTGCATTTTGCGAATCCTACAGGCTTTTAAATCTGAAATGCAAATTGAATCCAACACCTTTCAGTCTAGGACATACCACAAGGTCACTTTCTGCTTTATCTGCTGCATAACAATTCAGTCGCTCCTGAACATGTTCCCGCAAATGTGTACTACACTTACACAGGCCAGATCGTGTTTCTCGGGCCTAAAATCCGTACTTTTTCACCTTATTTGCCTATACGCAAAAAGAAGTTGGAAAACTAACTGAGAAAGACTTGTTTATGCATGGTCGCACCTGTTAATTAACTTCTGTCCTTATGTTGTACTTCCAAATAGAATTGAATATAGAAGTGAGTTTATTGCGGTATGTGCCGGCCGAACACCAATTTTTATATTCTCCACTCAAAAGTGTCTCTCTGTAATTTCGCATCGGGGCTAGCTGATATAGTCAATTGTAATGCATAGCCATGAGTGGTCCCTCAGGCACCAACGGGGCGTGGCAGACACTGTTTTGTGTTTAAACTTCAGTCTGACCCAATGTATCTGATGGGACCATTACACAGGCTGAGTAGAACGCTTCTGTGAATTTTTCGCTCCTGTACAGTGGAAAATACATCTTCTGAGAATGGTGTGTGGGTGAGCCTAAGTCAACATTAATGCATTGGAAAAGCATTTTAATCTGTGCCTTAGACTACACTATTCATATGGCACAGGCACTTTGGTCTTAATACATCCGTGCCACAGCCTGCAGCCGGCCTGATGCTGTCCCTTATGGTTGGCAAGTGAAAGTGTTACTGTTTTATAGCACATCGCTTGAAATAACAAAGTCTATCCCAGTGTCATATAGGCATAACCTCCTGTGAGCTGAGCTTCAAATAACGACACTTAGAAAGCTATCTCCTGACGACCAGATATCATTTCATTGACAAAACCTTATGCTAAAGTGTGTGGGCACACATCCTTGACCGTTTTATTGCCCTAGACTACCTTTCCCCCTCCCAACGCTGCATAGTATGCATGCTCTGCATAACCTTAGGGCAGAGGGTTTAAAGTTCATCCATTCGTCTTTCAAAATGCAAATTGGGGATGGTTATGCCAGCCGATTCTACGCAGACTTCGTGACCTTACAAAACCGCAATTTTTGGTCAAAATCGTCGCAACAATCGAACTGCAATGCAATCAAATAGTTGCTTAGGCAAGACCTTATTGCGCATCAAGATTTCCGAGTTAATGAGATTAAACGAAAATAAATTGGACAGTATAAAACAGTTCGTTTTTATCATTGTAGTAATTTCATATTACCAACTGTTGGTACTTCCCATAGGCTATTCGGAATGATGTACCACTATAATTGTCACGTACATGGAAGTAAAATGTAAACTAGTAGCCGGACATGGAATGCTGTAGAGAGCAGATGTCTTTGTGGTTAACTTTTCTTTCCTTCCTCCTTGATTTAGATCAACCACAAGGACGTGACGCGAGCCTGCCATGCAGAAGTGGTAAAATTGCTTGAGAACCTGAAATCCAACGTTGTCGTGTTGGAGGTAACACGTCCCAAACCCGAAGAACCATGTCCAGGGCAAAAGGAACACTTCGTTGCCTCACGCCATAGCACTCTAGCGGGTGGAACATCAAATTCTGCAACGAAAGCCATCGTCCAACGCAGTGTCAGCATGGCAGGACGCGTGAACCACAACAACGGACCTGCGCCCTACTCACCTATGTTGCCCATGCATGTACCCCCGCACAGTCAATGCATTTCCCCTGACGGTAGCAGTGTCTCTAGCACGGGTAGGACACCAAATGTGTTTGCTTTAGATGAGTCATGTGTGGGCCGTAACATCCTGTATATTACAGGAGAGCAGTTTAGGCGTCACTCTCAAAGGTCTATCAGAATTCTGTTTTATCTCCAAACCCATTGCAGTGTCGTTACTTCATTTTAAAGGCAATTCTCAGTTTTTTTTTATTCTCGAGCCTCAACAATGGGTTCTGCTTCACCTCGAAATTATCAAAAGGCAGGAAATGAAGTGGTGGTTTAAATTAACTCGGAAACACAAAAAAACAAGCTCATTTTTCTGGTATTTTTTCTTAATTATGCATCGTTACTGCGTTGATGTGCTTAAATGTAAATGAGGACATGGTTTAGCATTGGGTTACTTCGTTTAGTTTTCGGATTGGGGTTCTACAGATTCAGCTGATATTGATGAGTAAGTCAAAGTACTGTGTCAATTTCGTGATTCCACGTCGATGGGTTTTCATAGGACATGCGTCTGGAATTCATTCGATTCTGCCTATCTGTATAACGAAATTTGATAATGTGTAAACACGAACCCTGTAGTAAGCAAGGAAACAAATTACTCCCATAATGAAGGGAAGAAACTAGTTTGCGAAGTCTTCCTCTTTCCAGCGGCTAATCAGTGGCGAGAGTGAAAGTGTTGGCTTTCAGCATT